CCCCAAAACCCCAAAACCCCAAAACCCCTAAAAGTCAAATGTATAAAATGTTACAGATCAATTAAATTAATGTAGTAAGATTAATAAGCATTTATCAGATTTTGCATTTATCAGCATCACAATAGTTCTCTGGTTGAGGGTCTGAGATGACCTATTCAGTCTATATGAATTTGAGAAAATTCTCATCTTTCGATCTATCAAGCCTGAGTTGATGAATATTTTGCATCTTACTATGATACTCCTCCTTGGTTATTTCTTCATAGGGCATTTATGGATATACGTCTTTAGTTTTAGGCAAGAAACTAATGCCTTTGAGTTGATACTAGAAATAGTCCAAAGCCTTTTCAATTTAAGAGGCATCTTCCCCTTTTTCTGGATCAAAAGTTACTGTGCAGCTAACTTGATTGTCAGCCCAATGCTTTTATAACAGAGAGGCAACTTATAGCTACTCCCACATTGTTGCTTCTTTTAGAGTTCTAATATTATCCCCAAGACTTACTGGGATTTCAACCACTGAGGTGTGTTATTTGTCCATTTAATCATCCTCGATGTGATAGCCAGCTTAAAGAAGCGGTTGAATCAGATGAGAGCTCTTTCCCAGTCTTACCCTTCTGATATAGTTAGCACTTAGAGGGAAATGAACCCCAGGGGTTGCTCCTGCTAATAAACTTACAGTTCCACTCGGCTTAATTGATGTTATTTTAATGGATTCAGGGATCTTGAAGAGTTCTTTTGAAAGATATGAATCGTATTTCTTTAAGTAGCTGTAGCCTTGATCACACCAATTAACCAGTTCATGAACTCCTCTTGTTCCAATGAACTGTGCAATTCCACTCATTGAGCATCCAATTCTCCTATTTCTAGCCATCACTTTAGCAGTTTCATCCCAGTGGGGTAGGCCGAGAGTGACTGCTTTGGCATACATAAAGGCCAGCTTGAGAGTTTCTTCGAATTCTTCGTAGGAATTGTGATTATGAGGGAAGGTTTCAACTAAGCAGCACATTTCATAAGATTCTAATGTCTGTTCAAGACAAGGGTTACCTCCTGCAGCTAAGTGATCTCTATTATCTTTGGGATCACCCATTCTGCTATATTATTACATATTTTCCAACCAGCATAAACCTGGCTCTCCATTTTTATAGATTGATTCTGCTACCTCCTTATAATTCATTCCTAGTTTTGCATATATAGAATTATTGCTGACCCATCCATACTCCATCCTATCTGGGTTCAGTTTGTAGTTCTTTAGATTTATAAACTCTGAGTCTTCTGCTTCTCCAAGTGCTATCTCTGCTACTCTCCTAATATTTCCAGCTACTACACATTTGCCAATTATGTTCATGATATCAACAATTTGCCTAGTTGAGATGACTTGGTTTTAGAATCTAGCTGCTAATTCATCTATGTACTTGTGCATCTATACCAATGGCTCTGGTCCTGATGAAGTTCCTCCAAAAGTCTTTAGTGGGATACCAGGCGGCCTTATTTAAGAGTAATCAAAGACTACTTTCTTTTGGCCTGGTCTTAGATAAGAGTTCAGTTGCTGTTCTAATGATCTGACCCAGCCTTCTCTTGTATCGTCAATAACGATTCTGATTGTTTCATCCTTTGGCAAGTAAAATCTATGCTTATGAAGAAGAGCTCCCTTGGTATCAAATCCAACTCCCACTCCCATCATAGACGAGTCCATTAAGAATGTAAAGCTTTTAATAAACCCATCAACGTCATCAGACTTAGTTGAAACAAAAGCACAATTGTTAAGAGCAGCGTACAGGCCTTTTTTCTCAGTTATATTTGTGCCCATAGCCCAGAGTCCTCTGCCTGGAGGCAAGAACTTGAAATTGTATATCTTTTCATACATTTTCCTAGCTAATTTTTACTATTCATGGCTATCTACTTTTATGTTATTTTCATTGCTGTGTCTAACCATCACAGTAAACACCCCATTGACTACTCTCTCCACTGTTTGATGCCAATCCTCCTACTGCCCATCCACTTCTCTTACTCTTGAATAACTTCTTCTATAAGCTAATTCTCCTACTCCATTAAATCCAAACTGCACTGGACCTTTGCCTGTCACCTTAGGATCATATTACTTCACAAAAAGTTCTGATAGTCTGAAATTCTCGGCACTATCATTGAGCTGCGAAAAGTTTCTGGTGCTTGCTTATGCAATGCTTCTGTAGTTTTATACCTGCTTAATTAGCCTTAAATGTTTCATGGCTTAAATAAATAATATATATTTACAAATTTATTGAATTTGAACAGAAATAGCTGTATGGGGTTTTGGGGTTTTGGGGAGATCGGAA